AATGTGCTGAGATTTATATATCAACTACAACCCATCTCACCCATGCAACTTTATAATAGAAATTATAGATACTGTGTAACACACGTGTGATTTTGAATGTCAACCATTTTACATTCACTTAACCCTGAAAAGAAACTATCAAGAAGTGCTATTATTTATATTAGAAACAAATAAAACACAGAGTTTAAGTATCTGACCCATTTGAAACAAATGATAAATGTTAAAGTTAGGATTTGAAAGAAATAATTTGTCATCAGACCCGTGTGACCAACCATATCAGCAAAATATAACCTATAGGCCAAGTCTGGCTCAAGCTGTTTTTGTACAGCCAGCCAGAGAACTAGGGATTTTTTTATTTATTTAAAAGGGCTGTAAAAATTAAAAAAAAAAAAAAAAAAGAAGAGAGGGAGAATGGGAAAGAGAGGAGGGAGGTGAAACTGACTGAATGTATGTGATCCACAAAGTCTAAAATAGTTACTTGTCCTTTAATAGTAAAGCTTGCTGATCCGAGCTCTGTGCTAATCATCACTAAGAAAACTTGTTCCTTCAGTAGATAATTAAGAACCACCAGTTGCTGCAGATGAAGGAGCTGTCTGGTCATAAAAATGAGTTAGTTGCACAGTGAAAACAGTCTACTCAGAACTCCTTTGGTAATTTCTTTCCTTGATTTTTGCAAATTTAAAATTAAGAACTATGAGCTAATTTATTTGGGAAGATTTAAGTACCAAAACCAGCCAGATTACTGCTAAGTTACTTACTGTGATACTGTCATTAAGACAATGGATTTCAGATGGATTTTATGTGCAGCGTGACTATTTGGTGACAGGATATATTAGCAAAATGACTTTTGGTATTAAACCCATGGTTTTTGGAAAGGGAAATTAAAATTAGGTCATCAGTGAATGTTCTTGCTCAGGTAATAAGAATTATTTGGAGGGGGAAAAGAACTATGATTCTAATAGTACATCTTCTATCACAACCAATGGAACACTAGCCATAAAAGGATTAATAACTGTTACTTTAGTCATGTTGGGGGAACTATATAATGTTGATTACAGAGGTTTGCTTTTGCTTTTTGTGATGAAGTTGATATAGGAAATGATATCAGGACCTCTAAATATGATATGAGAAATATTATAACTCCCAATCTGTTAGATGTCTGATACGCCAAGTTTGTGTTTTCTAAAATTGAAGAATGCTAGGACCAACAGAGGTTAAGAGAAGGAAATGTTTATTGAGAGTATAGCTCCTGAGAGGCAGGAGGAGTCCAAAATGGGTAGCCAAGGACCTTACTTTACAGGGAAGTTTTATAGAGCAAAAACCATGTGGATATAATGTGAGTTAAAGCTCTGAACAATCAATAAGGTTACAAGTATAGTTGCTTAGGTAACTGATCCAATGGGGGAATAAGTCATGTAACAAGTGTGCATGGAAAGAACAAAGACTTTCTAGAAAATGATGGGTCCTGAGGTCTTGGTCACCCACTGCGGTGACTGATGTCTATCCAGACTTCATTAGGCCATGTGTTACCCCTTATCTTGTCTTTTGGGGAAGTATGCAGCCCTAGTCATTTTATCTGTCTTGAGGCCTGGTCTCCGAAAGATGCTTCTCCAGCCACAGTTGTAAAGTATTTTCAGTTTTTGCACTGATTCTGTTGAGGGCCCAGCCCTAGCTGACTGCCTATAATATTTCTACCTAACTTAGCTGTCTATAGTAAAGTAACTTTTATTTGATAAGTGGTTGTTCAAATCCACTACACTGTATAGATGTATTATATATTTCATATTCATCTTTCCTCAGAGTCAAAAGCTGGAGAAAGAGGTTAATTTGGTTACAGTTGAGCTTCTATTTGTCTATTCTTTGACATCATAGTGCTAGACATCTGGCTGAAACACAGAAAATGATGAGGTATTGTTGCTGTAGATTAGTAGATACTGTTACTAGAGATTAGTAGTTGGGGAGTGACTATTACTGAAGCCTATTTCCTCAGACATCTCACTTTATTATACTATTTTATAAAAGGTGGATTGGGTAAGGTAGTAACTATAGTTATGTAAATTATAATACTGTTTGGTTAAAACCTCTCCTTTTTATTGTATGTGCTGCCGAAGCGAGCACAAACCTCTCCTTTTTATATTTTGTCTTTTCTTTTACTGAGATGATTGAGAGTGTTAACAATAGACTAAGTAATTTTCTATCATTCTAATGATTGAAAGATTGTAAATTTTGCATAAAACAGAACTCTCTTAATTATAGGAATTTTCAAACACATATAATCTAGTTTCAGCAATTATATATGGCAGCCTTGTTTAATCTTTTTCATTGCTTTCTGTCTACCACAAATATGTTTAAAACAAATTTCAGATCTATATTATTCTTTGGGTAAATATTTCAATATGTATCTTTCAAATGTGACTATTAAAAATATGTTAATGTTGTTACCATGTTAAAAATAATTTTAAGATAGCAATAAATAGTGTTTAAATTGCTCTAGTTTTCTCATAAGTGCCTTTTTGTACTTGTTTTTTCAGATCAGAATCCAATTAAGATCATCATTTACGATGGCCGAAGCCTACCTTAATAATCAGTTAATATGCTATAAGTTTCCCTTTCCATTTTTCCCTTTTGCTTTTGACTATTTAGGTCTTTGTCCAGTAGAATTTCTCATATTCTGGTCTTTTTTGATAGCATGCTTTTTTTTGTCTCTTTTCAGGTTTTATCCTTTCATTTCTAGTAAACTTGTTGTGTACGTTATGTTGAAAATAAGTATGTGCCAGTTTAGGTTAAGTTTTAATACTTTAAAAACACTTTATAAATAAGAAAATTAGGTTTTTGAATTGAGTGATAACAGCTTGTACATGTCAGTACTTTTTTCTTTAAGATTTCTCATCAGAACAATGATGCTGAGCTGTTTACATGAAATGTTATAAAGCATACTTTTCTTTAACAGAATTGCATAATTTATTACAATTTTTTATAATCAGCAACAATACAGAAAAAAATCAGGAGTCCTTATTTGGCATAGGAATGCTAGATATTATGAGACTACACATTTTTTAAGCTTTGTCTTCTGAGTCATTGAACTGGGTAATATTTTTGTCTACTTAATGATCTGGCTGACATTATTTTTCCTATTAAGGATGATGACACCCTTGCTGTTAATTTTATCCTGGAAATGGTAAATGTAAAAATTCATCCACTCTAAAAATCTAAACGTATAGAGGAAGTACAAAAGATCAATATGCAATATGCATGTATACAAATTCCCCAAGATGAATGTGTTACATAATGTGTATCACAAACATATACTAATAAAAGAGGAAAAAGAAAAAAAACTTATAGTTAATTCTTCGGACTTATATAGAAAAAAAAATCAAGAAAAGTTACCTTTAAGTAGAGTCAGTTTATTGCAGAGAAAAGAGGCATTGGAAAGTATAGAATACACTACTCAAAATCTAAGACTATGTTTGGTGATTGTCTCTGGTAAGGCCTATTTTGAAATTTATTATGAATGGTAACATATCAAATTTTTAAAATAGCTAATGGTTGAAACTATATATAGGGAATTTTGTTAAAAGGAATCATTAAAAATATTAAAATGTTTACTCAGTCTTTTACAACTTTAATCAAGATGACTTTATTTTACCTAGAATATTTATTTCCTGTGGTGAAATTTATGCTTGACATACCTCTTTCCTGAAAGAAATCTACAAATGTTGATATTTATCTTCATGGAAATGTTTTCCTTTTTTTGTTTGACTAATGAATGATTCAATTTATTATTTTCTTATGTAAATTACATTTATATTTACATGTTATATTTTTTCTTAGTAATTTTCAAAATTTGGCAAAGAATTATCTTGTTTAATGTGAAATTATTTTTAACTGATTCCTATAATGCATTAATGCTATGTCTGATCTTTGTCTCCTGCTTCAGAGACTTCTAAGACCTGGTTTTTTTCATACTAATAGCAGTTTGAAGGAGAATCAAATGATGTAACTTAGTGCTCAGAATGTTTCCAAGATGTTAGTTGTGCTTTCTTAGTCCATGGATCACCATAAATCTTACAGCTGAAAAGAAATGTTGCAGCCCCTTTGGCATTTGCTGATTCATTTCTTTAATGTGTTTTTCTGACAAACATCGTGTGTTTACTAGCTTATATAGTCATTTTTGAAATAGCTCCTTAAATCTACCTGTGTTTGCTAAGAGGAGATTTTATGTTAGATCAAAAATAATAATAATCCATTAAAAAGGGTAAAAGCTATGTATTTACTAATGCTGATATTAGAAATGCTGATTTGGGTTCCAGTTATTCTTTAAAGAAAAGCAACACAAAAAATGAATGATATAAATGTTATGATTTTTAGGACATTTTCAAATAAAAAGTAGAAATATGAAAATATTAGATTTTTTTTCTAAGTAGTTACTACTAGTTTGCCACACTTTATTTTAGAGATTAAGATCATTCTTTTTTTTTCTTTCTTGGTACCGAGGATCAAACTCAGGACCTTGTGCTTGTGAGGCAGGCTCAGTGCCACTGAGCTAAATCCCTGGCCCTAAGATCATTCTTATGATTAGATCTTTCCTTGTTTTGCACATCAGTATTTTTATGACTGTAATGTGCTACACGACCTCATTGATACGTATTATAGATCTGGGTTGATTTCAGGTGAAAATGAAGCAAGTTGATTTAAGAATTGTAATCATTTTATGGAAGCTTTTCTCTTAATGTTGAGATACTTTATTGAGGATCTTTTCTTTAAACATGAAAAACATTTTTTAACCATTGAAATAATTTACTTGATGTGTTCATCATTTAATAGTAATCAACCAATTTTAATTGCCAATTGTTTAGTAGCTCTTTGTTTAGTCTGGTGTAAATTAAACTAGAACATTCCTATAGGTTTAATGAAGTCTCTAATCACCCTAGTGAACTGTAAAGTGTTAGCATTTAACCTCTTGGTAAACTTCCTTATGTTATTATTTTTTGTCTTTGCAGATAAATTATTAGTCATAACTGTAGCTACAAAAGAAAGTGATGGATATTACCGATTTATGCAGTCAGCCAAATACTTCAATTACACTGTAAAGGTATGGTATATCTTTTAATCTATAGAGATGTTGGAATATGTGTCTAAAGTTCTTTTTTATAGAAACCACAACATCAACACAATTTATAATCATCCAGAAAGATGAAATTTGGTTACATAATTGCTGTTAGTTTATATAGTTTTTTTAATCTTTTTTTTTTTTTGGTACCAGGGATCAAACTTGGGTCCTTGTGCTTACACAGCAGGCAGCGAAACTACTAAGCTAAATCCCCGGCCCTAGTTTATATAGTTTTAAAGATATAGTTTAGCCCATTCAGTAATTTCTTATAATTTTCTAATGGTTCATATATGTTCTATAAACAACAGAAAAATATGAAATTATATATATATGTTACATCATTTCTTTTGGAGTGTTGTGTAAAAACACAATATAATTAAGATTTGACAGTAGGGTTTTTTTATCGGCTTTGAATAATCTTTTAATAATTACTGTTGGTTATGCTCTGTGTGTGTGTGTGTGTGTGTGTGTGTGTGTGTGTGTGTGTGTGTGACCTTTTCTATTAGTTAGAATTGTCTTTGTTGTTTTGCTTTTTTGGTTGTTCTAGAGAAATTTAGTAACATTGTAAAAATTTAGTTGCTTTTGTTGGTATTTTTCTGTTTTTCTGTTTTTTTTTTTTTTGTACCAGGGATTGAACTTGGGTCCTTCTGCTTGCGAGGCAAGTGGTAGAACCACTGAGCTAAATCCCTGGCCCTTATATTTTAAGAAAACATTTCCAGGGGATATTTCACTAACATACAATCTGAGGAGACTGGGGAAGTTGATAGAACTGTTAAACTGTTCTGTATGGGGTCTGCTATTTTTATTTTCTTATTTATTTTTTAAGAGAAAAAATCTGTCAATGGGGTTGCAACATTGTCAAAATGGCCATACTCTTAAAACTGATATATAGATTTAATGCATTCCCAGTTTAAAAAACCAACACATTCCTTATAGAACTAGAAAAAACATTGAACCAGAAAAGGCCGAGAATAGCAAATGAAATCCTCAGTAACAAGAACAAAGCAGGAGGCATCACAGTCATGGATTTGAAGTTATATTACAAAGCTACAGTGATAAAAACAGCATAGTACTGGCACAAAACAGACATGTGGAGCAATGGAATAGAATAAAGCATGCAGAAACAACATCACACACATTCAATCACCTGATGTTTGACAAAGGGACCAAAAACATAAACTGGAGGAACGATAACCTTTTTAGCAAATGGTGCTGGGAAAACTGGCTATTTATAAACAGAAGACTGAAGCTAGACCCATATCTCTCATCATATAGTTCTATACGTAAATCAAGTGATTAAAAAAACTAAATGTTAGAACAGGAACACCTAACCTCCTGGAAGATAATAAAGGTAAAAGTCTTGAAGTTATAGGCAAAGCCCCTTTGAACAGACTCCCAATTACCCAAAGAAATAATACCAGGAATCAGAAAATGGAATTATATCAAATTAAAAAGCTTCTGGACAGCAAAGAGAATAACAGAGTGGGGAGACAGCCTGTGTAATGAGAAAATATTTTTGCCAGCTACACTTTGAACAGAGGAGTAATGTCTAGAACATACAAAGAACTTGATTAGGTGCTCTAAAATAAAAGACTCAGTCAAACAAATGGGCAACTAAAATGAATAGACACTTCTTAGAAGAAGTACAAATGGCCAAGAGGCTTCCTTCTTTCCCTTTTTAATCCCTTTTATTCCAGGCTACAAGTCTATTGGTTGGTTCTACCGATACCCAGGGTTCTACCCACATCCCTTCCTTTTTTAGTAAGTCAATCATCCAGATACCCTCAGAATTATGTTAAACCAATCAGGCATTTCTTATTCAAGTTGACACCAAAGTTAACTATTGCATATGCATGCCCACATGTGTAGCAGCACAATTCATAATAGGTAACTCATGGAAGTGGGCTATATGTTCATCAACTGTTGGATGGGTGAAGAAAATGTGGTATTTATTCACCAGAGTCCTACTCTGCTATAAAAAAGATAAGTTTATAGGAAAATGGGTGTACTTTGAATCCATAATATTAAGTGAAATTAATCAGACCCATAAGCTTAAAAATCAGATTGATTTTTCTATATGAGAAAACCAAAGTATAAATACAGAACAAATAAAAGACAGTGAGAAATAGGGAGATAGATCTTTGCCATATGGGAAGAGGACTAAGGGAGGGGGAGGGAAGGAGAGAAGGGGATATAAAAACAATCAAGATGTGTCATGTACATGTACTGACTCCTCACAATGAATGTATTCATTAAGTACCACAAACATAGACTAATTATAACAAAGAATATCAAAGAGGCTAAATATTGCTGATAATGCCTTTTATACTTTTTTATAGAACTGTTATAATTTGAGCTTTGCTCAAAGATGAAATGTTGATTTCATTTATAGGTTCTTGGTCAAGGAGAAGAGTGGAGAGGTGGTGATGGTCTTAATAGTATTGGAGGGGGCCAAAAAGTAAGATTAATGAAAGAAGTCATGGAACATTATGCCAACCAGGAAGATATGGTTATCTTGTTTACTGAATGGTAAGAGAAATACCTAATGGATTTTTCAGACTATATTATTTTTTAAAAATTAAAATTTTTATCTGTAGATTATACTGTATATTAAATTATCTTGATTACTAGGAATCACTTTACAAACTAGATTTTATTCATAGTTGTAAAATCATTGTCTAACATAATCATATAATATGATCAAAGTTGGCGAGTTACTACAAACACTAATGAGAAAACATGGTATAAACTAACATTTTTATGAAATTTATGTTTTAATATTGAGTTAAAGGTAAAGTATGAGTACATTGAACTTACATTTTGAGAAGTGTAACCCAGTCGATTTTGGTTATGAAAATACCTACTTAAAGAATACAATATAGAGCCAGATGTGGTGGTGCATGCCTTGTAATCCCAGCACTTGGGAGGCTGAGAGGAGGATTGCCATGAGTTTGAGGCCAGCCTGGATGACATAGTAAGACTCTGTCTCAAAAAGCAAACAAAAACTAAAAAAGAATTCAGTATATAGAAACTGGTAAGTTTACTGATGTATTTGTTTAAACAATTAGATTTTGAGATAAGATAAAAAAATTGGCAATTGCCAACTAAGAGTAGTAAGGAGGAATAAACTTAAAAAAAAAAAACCTATGATGTTAGTCATAGCTGTACTGCAAGAGCTGATATATACAATTAAATAAACAAGTGAAATTATTATCTCAGAAGTTTTCCAGATGATTGTGTTCTGGGAGATTGGCCTAAGATAAATAAATACTGGCTAGAAATGGACGAATAATCTAATCACACAAACCTCTGCTGTTCACTAGTGTGCCTAAGTACTTTGGTTGTACTGTATGACTGAATTTAGTTTTCATGTGTTCCATATGGTGCAGCTTCGTACTATGAATTATTTACATGTTTTCAGGGGACACAATAGCAAGGAACTCATCAATGTTGGGTAATGGGTAATGGTGAATTGCATCAAAAAAGACCTTGCAAGAAGAAGAAATATGGTGAATACTTTGAAATTATTTTTAAAGACTTTTTTATTGTTCATTTTAAGAAATGAATTCTAAAAGCAGGAAACCATCCAAATGTTTGAATCTTAAAGAATTAAAATTACTAAACAATGGAGTTTGAATGAGAAATTATGAATATGACAGTATTCCCTCTTATCTGTATCAACCAATGTTTGTTTCTTTTGGCTTGTCAGTGCACATTATTTTTTACTGGAAAAGTAGGATCAGTGAGCAAGTTTTTCATTTTGTGTTCAATATGTGTGTATTGAGCTCAAAATATGATTCAGGTTTTGAATATAACACTGTAGAAAAAATATAAATAGATCTAATCTTCAAGGAATTCTCATGTATAATCTAATTCTACAAACAAAACTAAACCTAATATGGAAGAAGAATGCATGTTTTCTTAAAAAACAAACCCCTGAATGTTGACATAATTTCTTTAGCATTATTTACTTTTACAAAAAATATAGTGAAAGATTATTTTACTGGTCACTTTGCTAATTGTTTGTGAAAATATCATTTTTCTGAGTTTGTTGGTATAGTTAAATGTAACTCACATGTATTATTCTGAGGACAGCCAGACCTTATTTGTATTCTATGAAATAAATATTTCTAAAGCCTTGTAATTCAGGTTATTGGTACATACTCAACTATGCTTGCCTTTTATGTTGTCTCACATCGTTTATACAAAAGACAGTAAAAATTTTCTGAAAATGGAGCTTTTCAAATACTGTGTCTATAATTTGAACTAAGAATGGCAGGTTTATTTGATGGACTCGCCCTGCCTGGCAGTGATGACAGTTTAAGTGTGCAGACACAAAGAACATGGTCATTAATGATGGACAACATTTCATTATATTACTATGAAGGAAAGCCAAAACACATAATTGTTTCTTGTTTCTATACTGTTTCTTTTTTTTCTGAAGGAAAAATGAAAATCATTAGCTGTCACTTAAATATATTTCACTGCCAATATTTCATCTAGAACAGTGTAAAATATGTTTAGGAATTAGATAGGAAATAAGTGATTTTAAAAAAATTGTTCACATGTTCTCGTTAATGTTTCCTGAGTTTTGAGTGGGCATATTAGTACATGTGTTTGAGGATGAAGCAGTCAATACACAAAAGGAGGGTTTGGTGATCATGTTCGTGTGTTTGATTTTCTCTGAGTATGCTCATGTTTGCTTACTTTGTGTGACTCTTATGTGTGCATGTATTCCTAAACCAGTTTCTCTATTCCTTGATTTTTTCCCCTTATTTAACATGCACTAAGCATGTATTACATGTAAAATATGGTAATAGCTTGCTGTGGTGGAGCAGCTGACAGGGACAGAAATCCTAGCTCTGGAATTGCTTCAAGTATGTTGTTTCTGGGACATTTAACCTATGTTACAATAGATGTTGAGTATTTTATAAGTATCGCGCTCTAACTGATTGCGCTACTGGAGCTCCAATGTTGAGTATTTTTTAAAAAAGATTTATTTCTCTGTTGGTTCACTGGACACTTATTATGCACTAAATATGTGTTAGACTTTAAAAGTTCTAATGTTTCTGCTGCCTGCCTCGCAAGCGTAAGGTCCCAAGTTCAATCTCCGGTACCAAAAAAAAAAAGTTCCAATGTCTCAAAAGTAATCTGAACTTTTATTTTGAAACTAGAGAGAGATTGTCATTTATCTTATAATTTTATAAATAGTCTTCCAGAAACATGGGGATACTCAGCTTCACAGACAGCAGTGGGGCCCATGGCTTGCTGTTTTGTCACTGTTCTGTCCCTCTGTGCGAAGTGTTGTTCCAGTGCTGGACCAGTCTCTGAAAATGGCCTGGAGAAATGTTCTCCCAGCTTGGGAGTGTCTTCATTGACTCTGCCCCTGCCAGCCTTAGTAAGGGTTTCATATTCAGCAAATGAAATTACATAGCATTTTAAGGAAAATTCACTAAGGCTTATTTGGGTTCTAAAATAATACTCATTTTACACCAGGTATGAAATAGTGTATGAAATAGTACTCATTTTACACCAATTTTCCTCTCTTCAGAACTCTTAAAATTTATATAATTTTCCACATTGCAATTTTATCATTTATTTTGCAAGTTCTTTTGAATGGATATTTTCAGCTAGGGTGTGTGTGTGTTTGTGTGTACATACACACAGGGATTTTAAAGCATAGTTACAGAGAATTAGTCTGTAATGATAATTATCTCTGGAAATAAAAAGGTGAAGATGTGATAAATGATGTAATTATCTGGTATTGTGCTACTTCTTGCTTCTGTTTCATTAGACTTCAGGCTTTTAGACATTAACTACTAGTAAGTAGTTTAGATGATCATAAACTTTTGTTTAAATTTATGCCAGCAATGCCCCAACAAATGGGGTTAGGGAACACATTAATTGCTTTCTTTTCTGGCTGTCTAGTAGCTCTTGCTTCTTGTTGAGACATGGGATGTTTCATTCATTCATTCATTCACTTGTTCATCAAATATTTACCGACCACCTTCACAATCCAAGGCTACGGGTATATGCATATGAAGGGAAGATCTGGTTTGGTATAAGATAGACTCTTAGAATTAAGAGCAGAAAATAAAACATTTGATAAAAGGGGAGAGGAAAAGAACTGTGAGAGCTAAGTGGAAGGAAAAAAATGTTTTCCAGTAAAGTGGCCAAGGAATGGCCACTTTACTGGCCATTCCTTGGCCAGAAGTGGCATTGGAAGGCAAGGGATTTAGCTCAGTGGTTCTGCTACCTGCCTCAAAAGCTCAAGGTCCTGAGTTTAATCCCCAGTACCAAAAAAAAAAAAAAAAAAGTGGCATTGGAAATGTTCCATGAAGGTGGACAGTTTGGACCAAATTGGGAAAATGTGTCTTATAAGGGGAGGGAGGGTGACATCAGTAGGAAATTCATAGATGACAGATCAAATAATTCAGTTTGACCTCAGAATAGTTTATTTAAAAGAAGATTATTAATATGATGCGGATTCATTTAGATTTTATTCTGTACGTCAGAGGTCAGTAAACTGTGCTCCAGCCGATTGGCTGTTTTTGTAGAAAGTTTTTTTGGAACACCGCTATGCACGTATGTTTCCATATCGACTATAGTGACTTCTGCACAACAGGTACAGAATTCAGTCTTGACAGAGCCCATATGACCTCTAACTTTAAATGATTTTCTGTAAAAGGCTAGGGAATAAATATCTTCTGACTCCTGCTTTAGGCCATACTCAAAAAATACCGAGTTAGTCTGGTATCTGGCACCTTCAGGAGTTTATCAGATAGTCCTGTTTAGAAATGAGGAGGACTTGGGTAATGGGGAGGCCTATAGTATTTTTCATTAATCTAGGCCTGTGCCTTCTAGTGATACTGTATTGCAGAGGATTGGAATGCTAAATAGATTAAGTAGATGGAATCAATAGGATTTGGTAAAAGATTTGATGAGAGGGGCCATGAAGAAGGAGTCTGGGCTGAATGAAAGATTTTTAGTCTGGGTGACTGTGTGGTGGATGGTATTGCAGAAACGGAAAACAGAAGGGCAAACACTTGTAAAAATCTCAATGACCTGTTGGAGACAGAACGCTGACATAGCAAGGTGGGCTCTTATGATTTTTGCAGGACTCAGGAGTTAAATGTGGAAAGTTGTATTTTATTCTTCATATTTAAATAGAATGAGCTCCCATGAGAATTATTTTTATAACCTTTGTGCATTCTTTTGTTTTTAAAAGGTTTTTGACTTTGAGTTTTTGTGGCCCGAATAATTCTAAGTAGAAAAAGTTTTGTTACCTTTTTGAGCCATTTTTAAATACATTCAAATATTTTTCTGAAGTACTGAAACACAGAAATAACAATGCTGCTAGAATGAATTGGGGAAAGTTTGAGCAACTTTATATTTCTATTCAAAGTTGAACTCACATATGCATTATGTGAAAATAATTTCCCTTCCCTTTTGCTTTGAGACAATTGCACACTAATTGAAAAGTAATACATGCTTATAAAATACTAAGTTATTAAAATAAGTTACCATAATTCTTCTATTGTAAGCCACTGACTTTCTCTGTCCATCACTAGGGCTTTAAAGATGGAAAACGATCATTTTCCTAAGTTGGATTTATAACAATTTTTTCTGGTACTGGTGATTCAACCTAAGTGTGAAAAGCCTTGGGAACATGAATATTTTGCTTCTCACTTGCTAGTTAAGTGCTCTACCATTGAGCACGCCACCCCCCACAGTTTGTTTTTATAACTTTTAAATATGTGACACTACCTGCAAAATTTTTAAGTCAGTTTGGCCTAAGCTCCCAATCATGATTCTCTGACATACATGTGGTATATTTTTTCCACTTCCAAAAAGGATTTTGGGTTTCTATATAATTCTCATGGCAGTGTCTGTCTCAGAGAATTTATCTCACTTCTCATGACTCACTTACCCATAAAAACTAGACTTCTTTCCTAATATACAATAAAAATATCAGTAATTGGGGAAATACTTCTATTGAAGATATAAGGTTGATGAAGTCAGTTATATGTAGAAGAAAAAGGGAAACTTGCGTTTTATAAAGTCAGATTAATTCAGCTATTTTAAAAATAAATAGGCATGGAAAGGTTGATTTGAGGTTTTATTGTAACAGTTTTATTCTGATCTAACATTTTATTTTAGAAATTTGTCTCAGGTTAAGAATAAAATTATTTTAATTTACATATTGGTAGAAACTTAAAAATGAGTTATGCTCTTCCCTTCCCTTCATACTATCCCCTTTCCTTTAGAATCTTTTTGCTAACTTTATTGAGTGTTTACAATATATTACCTATTGTTCATTTTTAATTAAAATTTCACAATTACTTGGCTCCATAAATACTTTTGCCTGTTTGATAAGAAACTAAAGCTTAAATACTTTCAATAACTTGCCTGTGAATTACTCTGATAGCAAGTGACAGAGCTGGGATTGAAAATCTATATGACAAACTTCAAATATATGACTATGAGTGACTATCATTATGCTATTAATAGTTTTACCAACTTCTTGTCTATTGATCCTGGAAATTAAAAAAAAATTAAAAAACCCAAAATCAGTTTGCATCAATACCTGTCTACCAATCTAAATGTAAATATACAGATATTTTAATTTTACAGTGTTATTTTTTATGACTAAAATAAGTGATAAAAGTTAATTCCTATAAAACAATTTGAAATGAAATTATCTATCTCTCTGACAACCACTCAGTATTACTCTATGATTTAAAAATTAGTGTAGCAAATTTATAAATTTCATTTGTGTATCTCAAAATTTTAATTTAATTTAATTGTCTCAAAATTTTAATTTTCTTTAACTGTGAGGATAGGACTATATGATGAGGGTGTATGTGCCCAATATTTTTCACTTGTACAGTTTCACAGTGAAGGGAAAGAGAGGAAATAGAGAATAGGCAGCTTAGTATTTAAAGGACAGAACTTGGAGGTTACAGAAGTTAGCTCGGCTCATGTTTTTCTGGACAGAATTCGTCATACTGCCACATCTAGCTTCACAGTAGTTTCTGAGCATAATGGCTATGTACCCAACTTATGCTTGGGGATTACATTACCAAAATAAAAGCATGAGACAGATTTGGGGGTGAGTTGTCATCTCTGCCACAAGTCTAAACAGTGATCTATAAAAACACAGTGTTTTTGCTTATATATTTAAATGGAAAAAATTTATTGGAGTTTTACTTTGAGAAAGATAAAAACAGTGTGTTTTTATTTTGATAAAGTAATTCATATATGCTAAATCATAAATTAGTAAATCTAACCTGAATTGTAACTTATCCTAGCATATTAGCCAATTTCTTGAGCTTAAATCTCACTGAAAAAGTCATATGGAAAAGCTTTATTGTTCCTCTGATCAGATATGACAGTAGTGGATTCAGAATAACAGCTAATAGCTGTTAACTTCCTAATAGGAAGTTTTTGTGCTGAATCCAGAATATCGGTTTTCTCTTGTTGTTTGCCACCTGAAATAAGTCATTAAGTTATCATCTTTGGAAATATTTGGCCTTGAGGCACACTGATGTAAAAAACTGCAGAATAATTTGAGGTTGCAATGAATAGAGAATTTACTGCATAGAGGAAATATTTTACATAGCAGCTTTTACACTTAATATCAGGTTAAGTCGTTGTAATTTTGTGAATTAACTGCAAGAAATAAAAGATGAACAAATCAATGAAATTCTGACATTAAATTTATTTTTACATTTTTAGATTTTTTAGATTTATTATCTTTAAAAAGATGTAGTTGTCTGAACACATTTACAGATTTCAGGCTACATAATGACTCAAATGTATATTAATGATATCTAATATTTAAGTCTTTGTGAAAGGTAATGAATTCTTCAGAAATGATAGAGGATTATTAGGAATTGAATGCAAATATTAGGCAGTTTAATGGTGACTTTTTTCCATATACTACCTATTAAATTTATTAAAAATTGTAGTAAACATAATAAACTAGTCCTCCAAATGTATGCTGTTCAGGTGGAAAACACTACAAGAGAAGACATAATAGAGACTGCCCTGCAATAAAAAGTACAAATTTCTTCTACAGAGACAGAGAAATAAAAGGACAAATCTAGGTGTCTAAAAGACAATTCACTGTACATATTTTATTTACAGTTTTGTACAGTCTTAATATGAACGGGACCGCTTTTCTACTTGAGCCATTTTTAACCAAAGCAAAATAACCTAAGTAATACAAAGTTTTAAAATACAGCATGAACTCGCAAGCTCAAGGACCCAAGTTCGATCCCTGGTACCAAAATAACCCCCCAAAAACCCAAACAAACAAAAAAACAAAAACTAAGTCTAAAATACAGCATAAAGATACAAAAACAGACATACTAATTCTAGTTAGGAATGTAATTATGATGTTATATTATAATCCACAGTCGTGTTTAGGTAATCACACAAACATAGATCACTGATTTGAATAAAATGCATAAATTTGTAGCAAAGCTTTGTAGTTACAAAAAAATTACCAAAGTATGCACAAAATTAATGTTTATTCCACCCTCATGTCATATTCCTGGATCCTTTACCAATGTCACATAAAGAAAAAACAAAACCAAAACAAATGAAAAACTGAAATCAGAATCACTAATGTTATCAAGTAGGGAAACAAATAAATTAAAATCTAGCAGCCATCAGCAAGAGTACAGCAAAGATAATGCTGTCAAAAGAAACAAAGAAAATTGCTAGAGAACTGTATGCATCATACTCTTTCAAACCAGCAAAATATGCTCCTGCATACAATGGAACATAATGATTGTTTTCCTGTTACAATACAGAAATACAAGCTCTTTTTTGAATATTGTAAATGGGTAAAATGTGTTTATAATGGTAATTCTACTAAGCTATTACAGAGTGGACCAGGAACACATTTATGGATTCTAGGGATGCTGAGTACTATAATTCTTTGATTGGGATGGTGGATACTCTAGCAAAAATTAAAAAACAAAGCAAAACAAAAACCACAGAAGTACAAGACAAAAGACGAATGAGACTTCTCTCATATCTTAGCAACATTTAGATGGAATCAAATTTAAATGCAGTCCACTCTGCTTTTGAAGAGCCTTTGGTTCACCTCCCAAATCTCCATTGCTTGACGCAGTCTCCTATGAGAATACTCAGAAGGTGTCTTCTTAAACAACAAACCTATTTTTAGTGGTGGAGCCGCTCTTAGTAGCTGTGTCAACATGGGACTGATAACCAATCACTATCTTTGGAGGAAGTCCTAACCTTTCCTTGTATACTCTCCCTGTATGTTGAACAGCCTCTCTGTTCTCGCATTCAGTAGTCCATATTGCTATCTTATCATCTTTAGCTCTAACATTAACAGTAGCTCCACACACATCATCACTGTAGTCATCAAATGATTCTCCAATAAGGCACAGCAGTGTCTCTATCCAAAAGCGATCGAGGTCACTTCATCTCTGGTGTTTGTTCAGTGTGATTAGCCATTGTCCTCGCGTTTATTTTTCTCATCTTCCCACATAGCCTCAATACCATCCTTAAAAAGTGAGTAGTCACAGCCAGACATTAAATTACTAGACAATTGGATATAGTTGTACAGACTGTTCTGACGAGGATGTTTAATATAGTGTTCTGGGTTAGAAACCTCCTGGTTAGATTCTCTTTTCTCCTCTTCTGCAGGTGGGGGATTAGGAGTAGGGGTGATTTCTGGTTCCACAGTCACCATCTTAGATAGATATCTAATGGTGACTTTTGTAAAAGATTATATCTGAATTATTCATTTATATAATATTATTTAGTAACTATTTCTAACATTTCAACACTTTCAGAATTTTGATTTGTAGGCAGTTATTGAAAAAGTATTAACATCACTGCAAAAAATCTTTATTTTGACTTTTATTTGCCTAACATACAATCTATATAATATAAATTTGGGAAAATTTTTTGATGTCCTCTGTAAATAGCTAGTACTAATCTTATGTGGGATTCTAAATTCTGACTTTTGTTAGGGATCTTCTGTTGATTTATATGTCTAAATTCCAACCTACATATCTTAAAACTTGCTTTTCCTTCGCTAAACAGCTTTGATGTTATATTTGCTGGTGGTCCAGAAGAAGTTCTAAAGAAGTTCCAAAAGACAAACCACAAAGTAGTCTTTGCAGCAGATGGAATTCTGTGGCCAGATAAAAGACTGGCAGACAAGTATCCCATTGTGCACATTGGGAAACGCTACCTGAATTCAGGAGGTGGGTAAGATATGGAAAGAAAGGTTTAGTCTTAGTAAATTTTCAATACTGCTGAAGCAACTTTTAAAAAAATGTAGTAACTGTAGATGTGAAGTTTTAAATAACCATTATCAAATTATGCTATCAAACGATCAGTCTAAAATTTACCACCACACAGTTTAAAGGTGACAAAAGATTTCCCCATATTTTATGTTATTTGATTCTCCTGAGAGACTAGGCAATGTAGATGCTATAATTTTCACATTATAATAGCGGAAACTCATGTTGCTCAAATTTAAGTGACTTCTAAAGACTTTGAGATTTTCCAGGAAAAGTATCATGCAACCAAGTATGTTGAGTACTGTGTATAGCTTTAGTGAGAATTTTCCAAGTATAATAGGTATAGTAAGTTTCTGTCTTAAGTAAAAGTCCATTTTCAGTCTCTAATTATGTGACTTAAAAAAGTCAATGGTTAATTTGATCTAACTTGAAATACATTTGAGTAAATGAGTTATTTATTTTGAAATCAGTAGTTATATTTTACATTGAGTGTCTACATATACTGAAAGCATTAAAGTACCTATGCCATCATGGATTAAAAAACAAATTATTGCCTCACCCTTTTAAAAATAAAGTTTGATATTGGACATTGCTATGACTCCAAAGTGTTTCTCTTAGACGGAGATTGATTAATGTAAACATGACTAGAAGATACACCAAATAGGATGAAGGATGTTAGAGAAGATAGTTGGATGTAGATTGCAAGCCACATTGGGAAAGTGGATTTTTTTTGGGTACGCTACACATATATAACTGATACTGTTTAAGCTAATTAAAATTAATGATATTTCAAGTAGCAGTGTATCTGCATTCTAGACTTTTTTTAGCCACTTATGGTAAATAAATCCTTAGCAAGTAATTTAATTTCTCTGTGATTCCTCATATTCATCTCTTTTCACCCATACTATATTTTATCAACCCATTTCCAAAGTTATATTTTGGAATTTGTCAGCCCATACATATACTGAACTTCTGAAACCTTACATTCCAAATTTCACTGCTTAGTTTTAGCTTCCTTTTTTCCTCATCTTAGTACAGAAATGGTTTATCCAAAAACTCTTTTGACTATTTTTTTTCCCAATCTACAACCTTTAGATTTTACTTTGATGTTCAAGTCAAAATCTAGGGTTTATTGTATCAGTTACTCTATTCTTGGCACTCCTTCCCTCTTGGATTTCCAGCTGTGAACCTTCAAAGCTTCTACCTAGGGGCTCCCACTGTCACTCCTCTGCCTGAGCACCCTGCACTTGGGTTGGTTCTGCTTCCATGTCATGGCCTCTGAACTGCCAAAACCTCAGAAACAACACGTGTTAATCTCGCAATTTATCTCATGTCCTATGTAGTTTGAAACGTAGTTTTTTTAAAGGAAAAGTTAAGCTATTGAACTTTGAGAATTTTTATTTTATATTTATTAATTTTTTCCAAAAATGGCACACGTAGTGAAATCTCATGTAAATTCAACTAGATAGTGATATATCAACTCAGATGGCTGAATCTCAGACAGATTTATGATGTTGAGGAAACAGCAAATATCAGCAAATAAGTGCCATTAAGAAAAAGTATAAATGGGAAAGGGATTATACAAGGATATCAAAGCACCAACTTTATCCTTTCTGTAATCAGAATTATTAGAGATGGTAGAATGCATAAATATTTTCAGTAAAAGTTTGTGGCATTTCATGGGTGATATGTTGAGAATTAGTTACTTGAGAGACATATAGATCATGTAAACTATGTATTAAGTACTATAAAAATAGATGTAATTCTTTTTTATATATTTGAGGACATTTAGGTTTATGAAAAGCATAAGGAAACTTAATTTTTGGTAACCACTATTATAAACCAATTGAAAAATGTGATATAGAACTACTTAGTATATTTTGATCACAAAAGATTATTCAGAGGAATTAAAAATATATTATTCAGTGTGTTGGGATTTTTTATTTGCTAAAAATAACAAAACAGCAATTATTGACTGGCTTTTGTCATCTTTTCCTTTTGTCTTGTTTTCTCTAGGTAACAGTAATATTCTTAGATCTCTTTCTTCTAATTCTATTATTCCTATGAGAAAATTTTATTTTTAATGTAAAAACTTAGGTTTTATTTGAATTAATAGGAATAACATTGGTCCCTTTTTTTTTCTTTTGGTACTGCGGATCAAACTCGGGACCTTGCACTTGGGAGGCAGGCGTCAGCACCACTGAGCTAAATCCCCAGCCTGGGTCCCTTTTAAAAATTGTTGCATGTTAGTGAAACATAACAGCTTGGCTACCTTTCTGAAATTTAGAGGAGGACTCAATGGGAAAAACGATTCTGTTGTCTGTTATGTCTAACATAGACGAATGTTATTGGTATAGTTAATGCTTTTGCTCTAAGACCAAAGGGAACAGTCTAATTTTAGACTTCCTTTTTCCAGACAGTGACATAAAACTTAGCCAGAAAATTCTAAAAAAAAAAAAAAATTCTCCAAATGTCCTAGATATAAAATATTTCTGAGATTTTTGTAGTTTGTGAGAAATCCAACATGCTTTTGATTGCATTAGCATCTCTGGCACTGATACTAAAACCACTGTAGTGGAGATTTTCTTCTTTCAGAAACTGTGAATCCTTTGCAAGAGATCCAAGAAGAACATTTTAGAAGGTCAAAGAAAATTCTTCTGTCTTACTGTATTCCTTTCCTAGTCATTTTCCTTTAGTAGCTTTGGAAAATACGAGTTTTCCTTTTTTGTCAGTTAACTTTGGGAATGAGTTTAATTAAAAGAGTCTTTGATTATTTTGTTTTCTAATTGATAGTAACACTGTGTCATAGTTTATATATGAAACAAATTCAATATTTTTTTCATCATGAACTATGAACTTCCAACCTAATGGTTAGGTCTCATGGCATCATATTTTTGTGCAGTGATTTAATGGATTTAACATAGATCAAGGTTTGTTCTTTGAATTCTATATTCTATACTTCACTTCTGCTTTGTTGCAGGATTTATTGGCTATGCGCCGTATATCAACCGTATAGTTCAACAATGGAATCTCCAGGATAATGATGATGATCAACTATTTTATACTAAAATTTACATTGATCCACTACAAAGAGTAATAGCATGCATTTTTCCCTTTTATTGTTTTGTTAATTATATCATATTAATATGGAGTGGTCAGAAACAGATGATTTTATTATTAATGTGGGAATTGGAAAACTGAATTGCAAAATATTCTTGTCAATAACATACTTTAATAGAAGCCAGTGAAATACACAAAGAGTGAGTAGATGAGGTGAGTTTCTCACCTCTGACTGGGGATTGACACTCGTTTAATGAGTCCACACACTTCCTTTTGGTGCTCAAGTCAGCAACCTTAACAAATATGGGTGAGTCAGAGAGAAGAAAAGTAATGATGCAAGGCCAGGCTTTTTCCCAATAGTTATGTATATTGAAACTTATATTGAAACAATTTGATAGAAAAACGGAATGGGATCTCTCACTCCAGAGTTATAACCACACTACTGCTGTGTACCCATTTCCAGGCTGCCTCACAATAAAAGACAAATTACATCACTAAAACTTTTGAGGCTGGAGATTTTTAAAGAGTCAGTGATGAAGTCCCAGTTGAGTCTAGAGCAGTGATGGCAAGGCTTTTAGAGCTTTTAATGGTGACAGACAGCTTGCTGTGGCATGAATGACATAGGTTCACCACCACTGGTCTAGAGAATGATTTTTGTCAAATCTTAGAACAGATAGCTATCATTTCTTAAGACAAAAAATATAAGATATGTGTGTTCTTTTATTCCCTCTGTCTTGCAGTTATAATGTTTTTCACAAAAACTATTCTGCAGCTATTTGATACCATATACTTTTATAGTTTTAAAATACTTAGTGTATTTTCATTTTCATTCATAATCCTTTTAACCTTGCAAAGGCTTTTATATCTTTCTGAGCTTCTTTGATCCTATATAGGTGAGAGGCCAGACTCCATATCTATTCCTTGCCACAAAAACAAAACAACCCAAGGCCACATAGTAACATTTTACATAGTAACATTTTAGGGAGTGGATTCTAGGTTCTCTGAATACCAAAATCAGAATTTTCCCCATTTTTTCCTCCATTTCATACAATAGTGACACCAACTTGGTGTGTTCACCCAACTGCATTTGTAAAACACATTTTTGAAATGATAGGAATAAGCCTTTTTAATTTTAACATTACCTGTGACACCTTGAAACATGACTGATGGTCTAGGGAAAACACTGAAGACAAAAGCTCTGCTATATGTCCATATGTATTGTTCCAATTTTAGTATATGTGCTGCCAAAGCGAGCACTGTATGTCCATTTGGTTGCTGACCCAGATGGGATATTGGTTGTGGTTACTGTAGATGGAGTATAATCCTTAGATGGAATCCCAGGGAATAGCCAATTGGAGAATTTAGAATTTATGGGTATATAGATCCAGGAGTAAAGAGATGATGAATTTCCCCAAAAAATTAAGGCTTAAGGATTCTCAGGGCTGGTATACACACAGAACCTTATCCCCTTTATGAGTTAAGAATACTGCAACTCTTAAAATAGAACAGTGCAAAATAACAGCAGTCTAAAATAAGATAGATATTTTACCTACGTATTTATTTTTTCCTCTATCATTAAAAAATTAAGAAATAAGGAGTGCAAGGCTATTAGGGTGACTTTATGGTATCAAGAGGGAAAGATAGCTCTTTGCTATTTGACCATGGGTCTGTAGTTCATATTTTTAGTGTAACTTTCTTGTTCAAGACGACTACTATATCACCAGCCATGGTATCTGTATTCTGAGCAGCAAAAAGGCAGAATAATAAAAATTGGGCCATCTCAGTTTCATCACGTTTCTTTAAGTAGCCTTTCTAGACATCTCACAGGATTTTTTTCTGATATTTTTCTGTGACCAGAATATGTTTATGTGGCCACACATAACACATAAATGAAATTTTGTTTTTATTTCAAGTACATGTAACTGAAAATTTGAGTTCTTTTATTAAAGGGGAGAATGTTTGAAACAATAAACAATTTACTATGGGCCTAGAGAAAACATTCCTGAAGTGAAATTTTGGAGAAAAGTAAACTAATTTGAAACTATTTTTATAGTCATTCAAATAATATAAGTTGATGTTTTTAAAATTTTCTACATAAAGGAGATAACAATTCTAAAATTTTCTTAAATTTGTATATTTGTGTGTATCATCATTTGGAAGCATGATTTGTTTTAAATGTATTTTACAATAAATTGTACTTAACAGCTATCTCTGTCTTAGCTAAATATTTCAATCATCTAAATATTTTCATTCAACTTAACATAAGACTTTTAAGCTATAAATTCCCCCAGATAACAAATTATATTACTATGATGGTGGTGTTTGCTATCTTTTCCAATATTTTCTCTATTCTTATATTTTAGCAAGCTTTAAACATCACATTGGATCACAAATGCAAAATTTTCCAGGCCTTAAATGGAGCTACTGGTATGTTTTGTAAATCCTGTATTGCTTCTGTATACAAATGAACAACTATGTTTTCAACTATCTTTCCTTTGTTATATCCATTTTGGAGCTGTGACTAAGATTTACAATATATGTAATCTATCGTACAATATATGTAAATACATTGCAACCTTAAAAATTATTGAACTTTAACTTAAATCAGGTATAGTTCAGTACATTCAGTTAAAATTATTCCTCAAAAATAATGTGAAAAAGATAAGCTTCTGGCTTTAGGTAACTTAAAATTTAATCTATTAAGATCTGGGTATTTTAGATATATTTTTGAATTAATTATATCTCATTATTACACATTTTTCAATCCAATTTCCTTGTATCGTGCATTATCCAGAAGTATTACAATAGCTCTTTTTGACTCAGCTGAAAGGTAGCTCGTGACAAGTGTGAAAGACTTTGTACGTGTGTGTTCATGTTGTCTGTAAAGACTCATGTGTATACTGTCTTTTGTCTGTATGCATATATACCTGTACATTACTCCAGAGATACATATATCCTCATGAAAATATATTAATACATAGGAATAATCAATATATTAAAAATCAAAATGCCTCAATTCATTAATTCAGCACTGCATTAAAAAATTTAAATTATATAGCAGACATACAATTCTGCAATATATAGATCAGAAGGCATTCAGTTTGGAGTGCTAAGGAAATGTGAAGAAAGGAACTAGAAAACAAAAACCAGCTTCTGTTCTTGACTTGTATATTTCTGTATTTTATTGCATTTTATTTTTAAGAACTAGAAATCCTATAAATAGATGACAGTTACAAAAACTTGCTTATGCCAGGTAGTATTCTATTCACTGTACATATTTTGTTACTGTCTTCATAATTACCCTACAATGCCATGGATCGTATTCTACAGATGAATAAATTGAGTCAAAGAATTTAAGTAGACTGGGTGTAGTGGTGCATGCTTGCAATTCCACCACTCTGAGAGCCTGTGCCTGCCAGTTTAGCGATTTAGTGAGAGCCTATCTCAAGATAAAAATAAAAAAGGTTCTGTGGATGTAGCTTAGTGTGAAGACCGTGTATTCAGTTCCTAGTGTCACACACATCAAAATTTAAAGCAAAACAACAAAAAAAGAAGAAAATTAACTTGAGTGACATTACAGTATCATCAAGGGGTCAAGGCAAGATTGAAAAATGTTTTCTTTTTACTGGACAGCTCAGTGGGTTAACACCTCAGTTCTTTTGCTGGTTCAAAGGTGGAGGGAGGGAGGTGTGCTGGAACTGTTATCAACATATGTATCAGTATCATCCTGCGTTTTGAGTGTCTGCCGACTTGGTGTAGGCAGTTTCTAATTATTACACAATATGGGTATTAATTCTAAGAAATTTTATAATGCACATGCACACACAAACACATACGTTTTAAATTACTAAAACCTACTTTCTCTTTTTAACTCAGATGAAGTTGTTTTAAAATTTGAAAATGGCAAAACCAGAGCTAAGAATACATTTTATGAAACATTACCAGTGGCAATTAATGGAAATGGACCCACCAAGGTGAGTCACAGTGACTTTTATCTTGCTCTCTTTTTTGTAGAGGTAGACTATGGAATAATAGTTAGAATGTCATCTTCTTAAAAAGATTCTTTTACAAACTTCATTTTGATGTGAATAGTTTAGTGACTTCATTTTTTATACATTGTATCTTCTGATTTAATATTAATCAACCAAACTAAAGATTTTTATGTAGCAGGATAACTTTTCATTTTATCTGTAACACATTTCATTTGAGTGTTTTATTTAATACTGTAGTACCATATTTGAGAAGGAGTCACACTTCTCTAATCTCAGTGTTGTCTCTGAATAGGTATTGTTCAGGTCTTTAAGGGATCATCTATTTACCACTTTGTAAGGGATTACATGGTTTACCCCTTTAAGAGAACAATAATGTTAACAATCAAGGCATAACTGTGTGGCTGGAAAAATTTTCTTTTATGCTAATGCAAATGACAAAGACATAATTTGATTATGAAATTTGAAATTTTGGATGCTTTTCTGTTTCCAATACAGTGTACATCCATTAATGAAAGCTTTTGTTTGCAAACAATTTGGTTTGCAAACAGCACCATTTGGCAGAATTTTGTTTTTGTTTGCAAACTCTTCATAGGGTGACAAACATGGCCATGGCCATCTTTCCCACACAAACACAAAGATGGCCATCTTTTCCAAAATCATACAACAAATTAAGTTCATGAATGTATATATGAAAATTTTGCATTGCATGTATCCAGTCAGAATGGAACATAAATTGCAGTGACAAAATACACGTTTCAACATTGTTCAAAACAAGGTTCTGACATGCTGAGATGCCTGGTTTACTCATAAGTACCTATTAACAGGTAGATTTGCATCGAGGGAAGAGAAGATGAGGGATGTAATCTACTTCAGTGAAGTGATTAATTTAAATTTGAATAGAAGCTATGTGCATGGGAAGAAATTTTCCCTCCATCAAAATGGAAGAAGTAGATTCCCCTTGTCTAATCATTCCACCTTATTTTTCTTCCTATGGAGCAATCTTTCCCATATGCTCTCCTTCTCTATTTTGTAATCAAGCTTTTAAGCTCAGTTTTCAATTTCATATCAGTACTTTAAAGATCCTCAAGTCTTTCCCATTCTATAAACAAAACAAAAAACAAGTTAAAGTAAAACATCCTTGTCAGTTCATATTGTTTTCCTGCTCCTCTCTTTTTTCCTTTTTAAAGCAGACAAGTCAGTGCCCCCACTACTGCCCTTTCCATCAGAAAATGATTCAATTTATGTCTACTATGACACTCTTGCTGACTGTTCAGCACTACTGTGACAGTATATACCAGATACTGGGCAGGAAATGGTGTTTTCCTTTCCCTCTTACTCATTGAGCCTTTAGCTTAGGAATTATGGAAATAATATCTAGCATTCACTTTTGTTTCCCCAAGGCTCAGCACACTTGTAACATATACTAGGTTTTTAAGAAATCTCAGTTGAATGTCAGAGTCTATAAACAATCTAATGATGCAGCGTTATTCTTGGCCCTGATTAGACAGATTGTTTATTCTCATAGGGCAAGAATGCCATAAAATTACTCTGAGTCACTAAAGCTGTCTACTGTATATACAAGCTTGTTAAATGTACAGTTTGTTTTATGAAATCCTTTACTGTGTGGGCAGTTTCTGTTTTATCTTTGCTTGCAATACTTGCATTGCCAGCTAGGTAAGAGCTGGTATGGCTCAGCATCTTCCATGACTAAATATAGCACATTGTTTCTTCTTTTTGAAAAAATATTTTAACCAGATTTAAATATTCTGGGGTTTTTTTTGTATTTGGCATCAAACTCAGGACCTTGTGCTTGTGAGGCAGGTGGCAGAACCACTGAGCTAAATCCCCAGCCCTGTTCTGTTTTTTTAAAAATGTTATGGTTCTGCTGGTCTGTGCCAATAGGGCACTCACAGCAGTATGGTTTTATTTTTTTGGTACAACTGATGGAAAAATTACCACCAAATTGAAAGTTATTAAAATATAAACGTGAAAAGTAATGAGATTTAAATATTCTTAAAGAGTGAGCTTGGTCCTGAGAGTTCAGATATTTTGGGTAAGACCTAATGGTCAGTAACTATCAATTACTTTAGAATTTCTAGGATAATGCTGACAGGAGCTTTAAAAAGAGACTAAAGGACTTAGCATAAGAAAAAGAGCATACTACCCCTTAAGCATTTAGAGAAACATATGTGTACTATAAAAATTTAAATATTCTAGGAAACATTTTAGTTTGGACAATAATTGTTTTTGGCATTTCAAGCTGTATGATAATCCTGTTATATTTTCTGTGATTTGATCCTACCTAGTACATTCTGATTCTAGTTGACCACAAAAATGAAGTAGTTTTCATTATAAAAGTTATGTTTAGTCCCCTTCTCATTTGCAGAAGATTTATCTCCCTATTTCCTATTATGTTTTATTTTACTTTTCATTTAAATTTTGAGTTTTTCATATAGAGAAACCATGCTGAAGTATGCAATGATGAATTTATTTTTTACTTCCTCTAAATCTGATATTAGAACTTTTAAATTCAAAGTACTTTTAAAAATTACTTATAACCTTTGACCTACTAATATTGTTTTCATGTATGGCTGCTTTCAGTTTTTATGCCCTAAGTGTATGTCTTTGAACACTCCTCTTTTCATAATTGTATATAAACAATTTTTTAAATCTTGCATTTTATTTGAAACAAATTTCTGTATTATAAATAATTATTTACAAACTTGTCTTAATGCATTCTATTATAAATTTTTTTGTAGAATCTATGGGGTCTGGTTTGAAGCTTTCCTTTTTAATTCTTTTTATTTTTAATAATATATCATAAGATGCCTTATTTATTTATTTTTGATTTTGGGGATGCAGCCCAAGGGCCTTACACTTGCTAGACAAGCACTCTACTAAAGAACATTCCAAGCCTTTAAGATTTTTATTTTAATGTGTAGACTTTGTAAATATTAGACAAAGGTAATTATTATGAAATTGGTGATACAGTTAATACAGAAAATTTAAAATGGACAATAACTGTCCTGTTTTGCATATTAAATTATCATTTCTGCAACTAATTTGATTTATAATAAACATACTGACCTTAATTTTATGTATGAAAACCACAGTGGTAGGATCACTGTGACTAAATAAAACATGATTTAAGAAGAAAGAAAGAATTTGGCTGGAAAAGTTTCTTTGCCAATGAAATAACATCATACTTGGAAATATTTATGTATTGTGAAAGAATTGGGAAAATACTACTACCTCGTTGTAGATGAAGCGTTCCCAGGGCAGTCTAACTACACAAACAGTTTTCTGTACTTTCTAAAGCTGCCAGCAGAAATATCTGCAGGTTTTATGAAGAGATCAGATGTAAATAGAGGTGGCCGTGGTGGATGTGACCTCTCCCTGTGTGGTGAAATATCTCTCATCAATAGGAATGTTTCTAGGGGCTGGGGATTTAGCTCAGTGGTTTCGCCACCTGCTGCGCAAGCGCAAGGACCTGAGTTCGATCCCCGGTGCCAAAAAAAAAAAAATAGGAATGTTTCTAAAAGTCTTGAAAAAAAAGTCTTAATTACTTATGAAACAAAGTAAATAGCAGAAAGTGGAAAAGTTACAAAATTAAATTTTAATTCTTAAAATAAAAGTAATATTTTTCATACTTAGAATCTTAAATCTGTTGGTTAACTTAATATTCATGTAGGATTCTATTAGATTGATCAATAATGTACAAAATTAATATTACATTTTATGAGATTTCTGACATGGAGAAAGTGTCAGTCATTATAATGTGATGGGGATTCTTAAATATGACCAAGTATTTGAGGAAATTGTCTTTCCATTAGAAAAACTTTTCCTAAGTATATTAATAAAAACTATGTATTTTATATTTGCATTTTCCATCTCTTTAAAAATAACTCTTAATGAGAGACCCATTTTCAAATAAATCTATATTTTTCTTCAAAACTAACATTTTACAGAACATGAGTGATTAAATTAATGTTTGCATTCATCATTTGTCAATCAATAGTACACTTTTTACTTTTGGTAGACTTATTAAAATAGACTACATTGTCTATTGAAATGCTATTAGTGAATCTCATGAGTACCTATTTTATTCCTTGCAGTTTCTTGAATTGTCATAGAATCTAAAAGAAATGTAAATGAGTTACTGGTCCATATCATCTGATTTTGCTGTAATTAAATGTAGCTATATCTTCAATATCTGCATAACACAAAGCTTTTCTCATTTTAATTCATAGTGTACTTATTTCAGCAACATTTATTTCAAAAAGTCAGTACAGTAGAAGTATTTGAACAGAATCCCAGATATTTAGGAAGGAACTGTTAAAATGGCACTAGACTAGTTCTTTATCTGGGATCTTTTTTGAAGCTAAAAGCTTAGGAAGCTAGAAAAATTGACTTGATATTTCTATATATTTTTTAACTTCCATATTTAATATATATATATCAATTCTATCTTATGATTTCATCTCACTTTTCAAGTGAAAAATTGATTATATAAATATAATGAGGATTTTAGATGCTTTTTTAAAGCATTAGTATGAAATTCCAGCCAAAACTGTTTTGAAGCTTCACTGTCTTGAGGCAAAATGTGGAAAGAATGCAAAACCAAAAATCTACAAATGTACCTATCACCACTAGATAAAAAGATTGCAGAAGGTGTTGTAACTTTATGTATTATTTGTATATAATTTAGAATTTCTCTTAATATGTTCAGACTTTAGAGATACTGAAGATTTGTTGAGGAGTCCGAGAAAATCTTAATGTGCTTAACTCTATCTTCACTTACGGTCCCCACAAATAAACAAAATTCACTAGATTTTACAGATAAAATTAATACTAATAGATGTTTAGAGAGAGACAAGATAAGTAAAAAACAGATCCTCTGAGAGATATCAAAGGATTGGATGGGAAACCAGTATTATACTTTATTGTTGATAGGACTTGTTGGTAGGATCTGTCTTAGTCTACAAGTTATCTTTTCTTAAATCCAGAAACCTAGTTATAGTAGGATAGTTTCTAGGAAGAATTTAGTGCCTTTTAATGGTACAATTTACTCAGTGTTTGTTTTGTATGGTGATGTGTTGGTAAGAAGTCACTTTACCACTGCTCCATTTGCTATAGGTGTCTATGCTGGACATTTAAATACATTTATCTTACTACTAAATTATGATTCACTTTTTGTCTTTGCCAGTAAGTCTCACTTGGTTATTTAAAACTGTTTCATTGTTTAATGTATATTTAAAGTTGTCTTTTCCAGTATTACTTATTATATGAAATAAAGTGACCTTTAGGCTTAATCACACATTTTGACTTTGCCAGACATAGTTTATCTGCTTAATGATTTATAATCTGAAGAAAATTTTGTTCAGTGTATACCTCTAAGTGATATAAATGAATGTACCTAGTGCCAAAGACATGCTTTCAAGAAAACTAGGTGATTATAGAATGAAAATGTATTGCTGGAAGAGGCTTATTTTTGTTCATACAATTTTCCCTTCATTTACTAGATTCTCCTGAATTATTTTGGAAACTATGTACCTAATTCATGGACACAGGATAATGGCTGTGCTCTTTGTGAATTTGATACAATTGACTTGTCTGCGGTAGATGTAAGTGGCATCGAATATTGAATATGTGTGAAATGTAATAGAAAATACATGGTCCTAAAATGCAGTAATTCATAGGAGAAAAAGGCACATTCTTTTATATTTTAATTGTATGGTAGATAATGGATTTATAGTGTTAAAATAATGATTTAGAAAATTGCTAGATTTGTGTGTTTCTAAACTTTGAAAGCAAAACTAATAATGGAACTCAGTAAAAGAGGCCTGGGTGTTAACAGTTTGATATGATTGGGTGATCTTGTGTTATTTTAGTCTTCGCTTGGTCAAAACATTGAGAAAAATGGTTATATTGCTTCAGTATTTTTATTGATTAATGTTATTTGTGCTTGATTTTCAAATTTGATGACTTAAGAATAATACTGTATGATTAAATACTGTTGTTAGTGTTGTAAGGAAGCTGGCCCTGACACCATGAGGCCTTTACATCACAAGGAGCCAGCAGTACTACACTTTGATTCTTTGTGTCATTTATAAAAGCTTTCAGACAAGACACATAGGCCGATGTATAGAGCATAGGTAGAGTTTATTGCAAAATGATAGGTTTTTCAAAGTGACTGAGAGAGAATACACCTTCAAGCTTGAAGTGGGCAAGACTAAGGTGATAGTTGCAGTGAATGAGATCTCAGGTTACATTTACATTATTCCCTGGGCCTTTCAAGGAATATCCTTTTCTTCCTCTGAGGTCATTGTTCTTTTACAAGGAAAATGGTCTGTTGACCTTCTTCAGAGAGAAGAAGGTTCTTGTTTACTCTCTGGGTACCTTGAAGTTTTTTTTTTCAACCCCTCAGCCATAGTGTGAACTTTGTATAGGCCCTGGACCTTATCAGCATGCTCAGAGAATGTTACATTCACTTGGGCTAAAGTTTAAAACCACAAGCTTATGTGGATTTTATCTGTAGCTAATGATTAAGAAAATGGAGAAAAATGTAATAAAAACATATGTTCTTTGCTTTTCATGAAGCCCAAACTGCCTGCCTGCATACTTGTTAATATCTAACTTAGCTGCCTAACACTGAATTCTTTATGAACTAACTCATTTCAGCATCACAAAACTTCTAAAGTACGTAGTACTGTTGACTCGATTTTATAGATGAGAAGATGTAGGTACCTAAAGTTAAGTCACTTGCTCAAGGCCACACAATGTTTAGTCTTTGGAGTAGAGATTTGAATTTAGTTAATCTAGCTCCAGACCCTATGTTCTTGATCACTGCAATTTTACCTTGATGGCATGTGCGTATTAATGCCACACATGGTGCTACATAGTATATTTTATAGAGAAATAAAACTATCATTTATACTCTGAAGGTGAATGACCAGTAGGAATGATTGTTGTTTAGCCATGAAACATTTTTTGGTTCCTTGTTCTGTCATCTGACAGCAGTTTTACAATATCCCATAGCAATATTATTCTTTCATAAAATTGTTCCTGTAATTTGGTAACTATTATGACTATGTTAAATGAGATTCCAAGGAGTGATTTTGTCAGCGAAGCTAATTTTCCCCCTCATTGACCATAGGCTTGTTGAGCACCTACAGCATGCCAGATAAGCAAAAGCAATATTGACATATATAAAACTCCAGGTACTGTAGTTCTGTTAACTCCTGGAACCATACACGTGCAAAATATTTAAGTGTAATTCACTCAAACTCCCAAATTAAATATTTTCTATTTTTTGCTATATCACTGTCTGAAGAGAAGTTAAAAAGTGACTTGTCTATATTTAGGAGCTTCTGAATAAAGCCCTATATTACTTAAAAATAAGACTTTCTGGCAAGTCTTTCAAATAACAAACTGAATGTTTCCTATCTGGAAAGAATGCCAAAATGTTTCTGAATGAAATTGCAGGATGAAGATATTTAAAAATTCCTCTTAATATTTTTTTATAGACACTAATGTTGTTTCTCTGGAGAGAGAATTAATACTTTTCATTTGTTTTGTTTCTTTTTATATAAACTTTTTAGTCCGAAGATAGAAAAAAAATTTGTATTAAAATATTTATTTATTTGTATTTGAAGTAAATCACTTGATTCTTAATAATTGCCTGTTAAAATATTCTAGGTGGTTCAATCCCTGGTACCAAACATTTTATATATATGTATATGTATATGTATATATATATATATATATATATATATATATATATATGCTAGGTGAGACCCATTCAGTCTTAAAATGCAAAATAAAATTCTGTGTTTTTTGTGTATTTAGTGGCTATGCAATAGGGATATAAAAATTAAAATTGTATGGGTAGTTAAATTCCCATGAGTATTGTCTCAGTTACTTTATCTCATTGCTGAGACAAAATACCTGACACCCAAAGTTAAAGGAGGAAAGATTTTATTTTTCTCACAGTTTGTAGAGGTTTCAGTTCATAGTTGGGTGGCTCTAACACAGGGTGGCATGGCAGAGTGGCATTGCAGAGAAGAAACAGTTCATAGTGGGCAGAAGACAGCAAAGTAGCAAAGCACCAGAAAGCAAAGGAAGCAGCCCTCTTTTTGTCCCTTATATTCTATCCAGGCTATCCACATTGCACAATTAGTCCCAGTACCACGTCTTTAATCCTATAATCACACACTAGGTCCAGCCACCTTCAAAAAGCCCCACCTATGATTCCAGTGAGGCTTTGGGGGAACATCTAGATATAAACCATACCAAAAAGCATAATTTAAATGTGGGCTGTAGACAATTTCTTTATACGTAAAAATAGTACTGGCCATCTCAGAAGATTGCAGAAAGGGTTACATGAAATTTTACACATACAAACACACACACACACCCTAAATATTATATGTATATATTAATATTATGTATGAGGGACACAGATAAAATGATCATTTCATATATATGTACTTTATATAGATTTTAGTATTTAACAAGTATGAACTGCTATATTATTATCATTATTATAAAAATAACCTTAAATTAATAATGGAGATGTAGTAAGTAAAAGCCCAGTTCTTTGTTGACCAATTTATATATTCTGTATTACTCTAAGTCCCATTTTCCATATGTGTTAATTTGGAATAATAAAAAACCTGTAAGCATTTAAGAAATGTAATTGAAATGCAAAAAAGATAATATGACCTACTTTTAATAAGGTAAGGCTGTGATCTGTTTCTTACTCATTTCTTATATTAAATTGAGAACTCCTAGTGTGGGTATTTTGTTTTTACTTGTTTGCATTTGTTTATTTATTTAATAGCAAATATGTGAGTGAGTGAATGAATTGATAAAGAAGTACAAGAGTGTACCAAAAATACTTCTATGCAAACAAATACTGATAAACTTCAGACAGTGGAGGGATGTGTGAAGTACCATGTTTGAAAAGATGGAAACGATCCCTAATTCAGTACTTAACATATATAGTATTTTTTTCTTTAAAAATTGTATTCTTTGGGCTTTGGTTACAGTTCAAGGGCAGAACCCCTGCCTAGTTGGGGTTAGACCATGGATTTGATCTCCATTATCACAAAAAATAGGAAAAATTTTAAAAAGAAATTTACAGTCCTTAGGTGCAGACTTTCAGGCATGTTCTGTAAAAGACAGTGTAAGGAAGTCTTCATATAATTCAGATATTAACAGTGTTATGTGGTAGTTTGCTTGTGTTTCTGTTTTCACATCCAATCTTTTCAGACCAGGTACTTTAATTTCTTGAGCTGAATGTTGACCATCACAAGGACTGACATATATAATGTTCATAAGTTTTCATATAACTAATGAAAAATAAACTCCACACTAAAACACATCTCAGGAGGATTAAAAAATATATAAAAATAGATACAATACATTAAAACTTGTTAGTGGAAGAAGATAGCTTTCATTGTACATAATGTCATAATGAAGAACAGTAAAAAAACTATCAGTAAAATGAGATTAAAGGGAACATTCAAGATTAGAAATAAAGGCTCAAGTCCTTCATGATTGCTCTACTTGAGCAACATATTATGTTAATAATTTCAAGCCATGAAAACACACCTTTCTTGTCTCTTTGATGAAGATTTCAAAATAGCATTGTGATCTGAAGAAAATTTTAAGGGCTATTATGAAGGAAGAATTAACTAGAAGACTAAGCTGTATCCATAATTATATCCATATAATATAATGAATATGATAGTGAGTTTCCTCATTAAACTTAATACCAACACTCAAGTCACTTTGGCAGAGTCCATAAACTTTATTTCCAGGGTTAGAGAACTGTCATAGGGCAATCCCGGTTTAGTAGATTATGTTAAAACTGAGATTCCAGTATTTTTTTCTGTTGTATAGATTAAGATTTGAATACAATTTGAAATGAAACCACACTAATGATAATGTGTTTTTCTGTTTGCTATAAAACAAAGGTCTATCCAAATGTAACAATAGGTGTTTTTATTGAGCAACCAACCCCTTTCCTACCTCGATTTCTGGACATACTGCTGGCACTGGATTACCCAAAAGAAGCACTTAAGCTCTTCATTCATAACAAAGTAAGTATTTGAGAAATAAATATTTTATGTGAAAACTAATTTTGGTGGGGTTTTTATTTGGGGTGGACTACTTGTTTATAAAAAATCTATTGGTCTAAACTCATTGGAGGAGTTTTGGAGTAATTATTGCCTTACCTTTTGGGAACAAGGGTTTTGGAGTCTAGAAAGTATCATCATAATATTAGCATGAAACACATGAGCCACCAACGTTTATATATCAAAAATCACTAAATATTAGCCATTTGCAGGTAGTTCAGTTTTTAATGAGGGCTATGTCAAAGAGCTTTATGTTTCTTTGTGTTTGTGTTAGTTTGGTACTTTCTTTTACAGAGCTGGTATTTATAGTTTTTGTTATTTGTGATAATACAGTAACATCAGAACTTGAAACAGCTTCCAGATAGAGTATTGTTTTGATTAATCTCACAATGGCATGATCGTTCCCAAAGAAATTTGATATTGTCGTTACCTTGAAAAATTATTAGAGCCTCCTAAGTACTTCCCACATATAATTTAAACATGAAGACATTTTTTGTCAATATTTTTCCATTTATTTATCTCTGTTTTTTAAAATTAAGTAATTAATTTAGTTTTGGTACTGGGGATCAAACTCAGGATCTTTATAAGTTGATATTTTAACACCATGTTGAAAAAACTCAAGAACTATGAAACATCTCATCTCTCTTTTGTCCTAATACTTTTTATATACCATCGTTCTTTCTTCCTAATGTACATGCCAACTAGTCACTGACTTTCTCCAGAAAATATTTTAAAGTTTTAGAAAAGTAGCCTAAATAAGTTTGGAAGAGTAAAATGGTAAATATTTGCTTTGTAAAATATATCATTATGTATCTGTTTACAGGAAAGTTTTATTTTTGTGCATTTTGGCTTTTATTGTTATTTTCTCTATCTTCATAGGGCCTTGATAGTGAGAGATTTTAATATTGACTTTTTAAAATGGTAAATATTTGCTTTGTAAAATATATCATTATGTATCTGTTTACAGGAAAGTTTTATTTTTGTGCATTTTGGCTTTTATTGTTATTTTCTCTATCTTCATAGGGCCTTGATAGTGAGAGATTTTAATATTGACTTTTTAAGATTATCTCTATCACCTTTTTCATAAGTAATTTTTTTTTTGGTATGGGGGAATCGAACTTGGGTCCTTGGGCTTGAGCAGCAGGTGGTGAAACCACTGAGCTAAATCCCGGGCCCGTCATAAGTAATTTTCACAAGCTGTGAATAAAATGAGCTTTTTAGAAAATTTAGTGAGAATACATAAAAAGTTCTGAAATGCTCTAGTGATGAAGCAAGATATATTTGTCTTAGTTTTAGCATAGTTGAACACTGAATTGATAACATTATCCCTGATTTTCTCATTTTTCTGTCAGTAACACTTGGTTAATTTTTCCCCTTTTTACTATGACAAATTTTTTATGTGATCATTCGTTCCCTCTGGCTTCAAATAATACTGTAACATTTTATTTTATAAAATGTGATAACTCGTAACTTAGAAATCTGTTAGATTTAATTGACATTTTTCTGTATATTTTAGAACACACATGTCTGAAATTCTCAGGCTTCAAGCCATTTTTTTCCCTTTGAGATAGGAATGTTTTTTAATACCCAGGATTTAAGTATTAATGCAAGGAGCTGTGGAGGGCTTATATATTTATGTAAGAACTTGTCTAGCAGTAGATGTTGAAATAATTTTGAGGTATCTTCTAAAAATGTTGATGTATATGTAGTTTAAATTCTTCATATGATTGTTAAATGATATTTACTTATAAAATATTTCATATGGTTATTTTTGTCTAATTGAATATGCGAGTTGTGGAATTCACAACTTTGAATGTAATACACTTTAAATATAAATACTTCATTCACCTTATTGTCTTATTTTCTCATTTTTTTCTTTAAAAATATGTTACAGGAAGTTTATCATGAAAAAGACATCAAGGTGTTTTTTGATAAAGCTAAACATGAGATCAGTACTATAAAAATAGTTGGACCAGAAGAAAATCTAAGCCAAGCTGAAGCCAGAAACATGGGAATGTATGTTTTAACAAATGTAAATTAATTAACTTATCCTACTTAAGAGCAAGCAAACTTTTCTCCTCCAAAATAGTTTGCTGAACTTGACTGTTTCTACTGTGTGTGTGCGTGTGTGCATGTGTGTGTGCGTGTGTGCATGCACCCATTTACCTGCTCTGTGGATATACAGTAGCAAGAGTCTTCTGTAGACTGTATTTATTTGTATCTGCCTGTGAAGGGCCCTGAAGGTTTTTTGACAGCCTTTCTTTAAATAAAGACTTGACATATTTAATTAAGCTATGAATCGAATTTCACATCAAGAAGGAAAAAAAACTCAGGAATTTAACATTTAAGTCCACTGTCTTCAGGTTGTATGGATAAAACCATGCATTTTAGACTGTAGGGTGGAAGGAGTGCTCCTACTTTCTTGTTGCCTGCTGAGGTAGATAACAAGGTAGTTCTCACAACAGATATTTTAGGTTCTTTGTTTAGCTCCTTTAATACTTTAGACTACTAAGGAAACTTTGGTAACAGTAAAAACAATCATTTATTCAATGAACATTAATTGAATATTACAGACAGTGTTTGAAAAGCTCTAGGTAAAAAGTAGGACATAGGGTGCCTTCTGATCAGGAAATTTTCTTGTCTACTACTGACGCTAATGCCTTGTGCTGTGGAAGCTTAAGGATAAAGTAGTGAATGCTGCCTGGGATGGGGCTGTTGGGATGGTCAGAAACATAGGCCTCTGAGAAACCTAAGAGACGAAGAATTCCTGGGGTCCACATTCAAAACGCATTTTCTTTAATTTTTGGCATAATTGTAACAAGTTTTTCTATCTAGTACGTTGTTTGCCAGTGGTTTAGGAAAAAATGTAGTGTGGAAATACACAGTGACAAGAGCAGAAAGTGATAAGTGGGACCAGCAGTGAGGGAAAGGTGCTCAGAACTAAGAGAGAGATAACCCCAAGCCGTAACATGTGGACTGTTTCACAGGGATGGTGGTATCAGCAGTGACTCACTCATTCCTTGATATTCCTGCTGCTAATGCTCTTCTTCTGGGAGAAGCAGACACCCTACTCACTGGCCCCTGCTGAGCCAAGCAAATCAAGTTTAAAAAATATTAGTACATAAAGTCACACATTTTGTTTTTCTAAAAGTCACTTAGAACTGAGCTGTTCACAGTACATTATTTCATATTTGGTCTATGTATTTATATTTCTATGCAAAATATTTTGATTTGTGAGTAAAAGGATAAAAGGAATAAATGATTTGAGGTAAAGTATTTTCCACTTTCAAAAGCATCAGCTACTAACTGACAAATTACTATTCTATTTTATGCTTTGAAATATTTCGTGGCTTAAAATATGTTTTTCTTGGCCTAAGTTTTAGTGTTTCTCTGTCTATGAACATATGTTGGTAAGTTGACCATTTTGAAATGCAGTCTTAATTGGACAATATTTTAGAGAAACCTATTTTACATGTAAATTTTATGTTAACATTCTCAACTGAGAGATACTTATTTTATCTAATTCTTATTCATTTTTTTCAATGTTAGGGACTTTTGCCGTCAGGATGAAAAGTGTGATTATTATTTTAGTCTGGATGCAGATGTTGTTTTGACAAACTCAAGAACTTTAAAAATTTTGATTGAACAAAACAGGTATTGTCTAAGATTTGATAAAAATTTATTATTTCCACATTAATTTTCACTGTACATATTTATGCTTAGTAAATTTAGGCAGGTTACATTAAATTATTTTTTACAGCTTGTTAATTTTTAATTTTAATTAGTTTTCATTCAGAGGAGTCAAATAGATAAGAATCTTAAGATAGAAGCATATAATATTCAGTTGCAAATGTGGTTTATTGATTATTTTGGTGTATTTCTGTATAAAGCAAGTGAAATTCTAATAAATCTGATACTGGTGTAATTTGAAGTATTTTTATTTTTTGTAGATTTTTACTTCATAAAACTTCTGACTGAAAAAGTTAGTGTAAAGAGTTGTAGTTCTAAGAATCTGAAAGAAATTTCAGATGTAGAAACCATTCCATGGCAAAATTTGTAATTTCATTTACTATTGAGCTAATTATCAATGGGCACTGAGTGTTTGAATTGAATTGAAATGGGATAAAATCACCATGTATAACCACTTATAATATTAATCTGCATTTATTAATATTACTGCTACTACTAGTAATGCTGTTATTGTTACTATTACTAATAACACATTTAATGAATATTATTTAAGTGCCAAATATTTTTAAATATGTCTACATATATTTACACAATTAAGTAATAGAATATTTAATGGATGAAATGTTACAAGGAATAGCAGGTGGGACAACCTATAGATATGGAGTATAGTTTGTAACTCTTAAAATCTGTTAGAATTCAGTGATGTTCTCTGGCATTTGCATTGTCAGTTCTCTTACTTTGAATGAAATGCAGTAATGCATTTAATAATATTTATAATTTTTTATTTTATGATACTTAGGAACTTAATAGTTATTTTCTTAGCTATTTAATGAATATACCTGTATAATAAATTCCTGTATTTAACATATATTCCCATTAATTTTATTGTTTTAAACCTTTTGAAGAATAAAATTTCTTTCATAAGGAAACTATCTTGGTCCTTGCCTCTTGAAGAGCCAGTAAGACAGTTTGTGTCTCCAGTACGTTAGTTACCAAAGGTTCAAGTTTGTGTGATATACATGGTGCTTATTTCCGTAGCTGAGCTTATAGTGTCCACAGAAATTTACACATAATGAAATGTTGTTAGTTATAGAAGACTTAACTGAAGGTTAGAGGGACTGAGACTGTGATGTATTTTTAGCATGTGGCTTTTCAGCACTTCATTGGCTCCCTTTTCCTTCTCTTTCCATCTCTGGACACTTACTGACTTGCTCCAAATTTTACTCTTTGAATTACATAATACTATTTATTCTCTACCAGCCGCTAACCTTACATTTCATTCTCAAAAACACTAAGACACACAGCAGGTAGATTTTGGTTCTCCAAGTTTCTTGATCCATCCTTTTTAGAAGGCAGCTGAAACTAAAAATAATAAGATATTTTTTCTATTTGGTCTCATAAGTTATTTGTTGAATTAGCATTCCCTAAATTAATACATATGTATATTAATATTCTAAACAATACACAGTGTGTTTCTGGCTAATATTTTAATAGGAAATAGGAAAAATAAACTGAAAATTTTTTTATTGTGCATTATTTATTTGACTTCACTTTTATTTATATAAAAGAAACAGCCCAGCTGATCTTCCCAAGATTAGTGTATTGCAAAATAGGTTTTTTATGAAGAATATTTGGTCCATAGACTTCTTGGAGGAGTTGTGTAAGCTTTTCTTAAAACTTGTGTGGCACTGGTCATTCAAGAGATGCAAATGAAAACAACGCTGAGATTCCACTTCACTCCAGAAAGAATGGCTGCTATCATGAAATCAACTAATAACAAATGCTGGTGGGGCTGTGGGGAAAGAGGAACACTGCTCCACTGCTGGTGGGAGTGTAGACTGGTGCAACCACTGTGGAAATCAGTATGGAGATACCTCAAAGAACTAGGACTGGAAATCCCATTTGACCCTGCTATTCCACTGCTGGGGATCTTCCCCAAAGAATTAAAAGAATCATACCACAGTGATATATGTGCACCCATGTTCATAGCAGCGCAGTTTGTAATAGCTAAAACTTGGAAACAGCCCAAATGCCCATCAACTGGTGACTGGATAAAGAAAATGTGGTTTTTTTTATAAAATGGAGTACTACTCAGCCATAAAAAATGAGAAATTAGAGACATTTATAGCTAAGTGGATGCACATTGAGGCAATACTCTTAAGTGAAATAAATAGGACACAGATGTGTAAATACCGAATAGTTTCTCTGGTGTGAGAAACTGAAAGTGTAAATAAGGACTAAATGTATATAGGTCATGTGAAATAGGAAGAAAAGGGGCAAAGGAGAAGGAAGTGGGAGGGCTAGGGGAAAGGATAGAAGGGAATGGGATTAATATGAGAAAATGGAAAAATAGGAACAAAATTTTTGTAAATAGGGAGGCATGGAGGGGTTGAAGGGAGGGCTGGGCAAGGGTGAAAAATAAGAACCAAGAGAGACTATGTAAAGGTGCAAATTTCCAATGATGAATGTCATTATATTGTATACCTAAAATGTACCAATTATTAGAATGAATAATCGATAATGTAAAATAGGAAGAAAAGGTCCGAAGGGGTAGGGGTAGTGGGAGGCACAGGGGAAAGGAAAGAAGGGAAAGGAAAAAATGATGAGAAATGGAAAAAATGGAAATAAAATCTTTGTAAATAGGGAAGGGTGGAGAGGGTGAAGGGAGGGCTAGGAATGGGGAAAAAACAAGAACCAAGATGCATTATGTAAAGGTACAATTCCCAATGAGAAATGTAATTGTGTTGCATACCTACAATGTACCAATAAAAGAATTTAATACAAAAAAAACACAAAAGGAACTTGTGTGGCATCACTGAGTTTTAATATAATGCCAGAGGGACCTCAGATTTTCTTTTCTCATTGGGAAAATGGTGACATTAATTAGAGTTCTATAGGGAAAAGTCTGGCATGTTTTAAATTTTTAATCCGTGCTTGTGTTGTACTGGTCACTTCTCTGGTAAGACAGGAACTGTGGCGGTCATAAAATACCGCAGACTGGGTAATTATAAACAATGAAAGTTTATTCAGCTTACAGTCCTGGGGCTCAGAAGTTCAGGATCCAGTGGCTATATCTGATGAGGGCCTTCTTGCTACTTTAGAGAGGAGCTAAGAAGGAGAAAAAGAAAAGAAACCAACCTCCTGAGATGAGGACCTTAATTCTTTCATTAGGGTGATGTCCACATGACTTAATCATCTCTTGAAAGTTCTACCCCTCAGTGCTATCACAGTGACAATTAAGTTTCAGTTAAAATGTAGGGGACTCTCAGAGAGTTTTCAGACAGTTACCCACTTATTTTTTTTTTCTAACATGAAGGACCAGAAAATTGTTTAATATTGCCAGGCCTAATTTTTTGTTGTGGTACTGAGGCTTGAACTCAGGACTTTCTAACTGAACTACACCAACCCTTCTAACTTTCTACTTTGAGATGGGATCTCATTAAATTTCCCAGACTGGGCTCAAACTTGCAATCCTCTGCCACAGCTTCCTGGAGTGCAAGTATTTCATGCATATACCACTGTGACTAAGATGAATGTATGACAACCACAATGCATTTTAAAAGTCCTAAAAAATGAAAATATTTTAAAGTAGTTTGGAACTTAATTTTAGGAAAACTGTTCTATTTATAAATCTCTCAGTTCATCTTCATTTTTTTATTCATTCAATAAATTCTTATTGGTTACTTTAATGTACCAAGGCCAGTTCTGTCTACTCACTAATAAAATATTTTATTCATTTTATAATTCTGAAACAGTTGAATAAAATTTAAATATAATGTTATAATTAAAGAATTTTCCCTATTTTGGATGCCAGTTTCATCTCCTTATATTTTCACCAGCATTTTCAACAATTTTTTCCTTTTAGTTTCTTTTTTTTTTAAAAAAATGGAAAATTAGCAGTGTACCATTCTGAGAAAAGATGTTGTAAAATAATTTCTCATTTTATTTTAATTTTTAGATAGCCGTATGTATGCTAAATGAACCTTATTAGTGAGGGGTCATGCTGAGTCTCAAAACAATAAAAGCTCTATAGTAATTTTAAAATAAATAATGACATGGATTTCTATCTGTAGAAAGATCATTGCTCCTCTTGTAACTCGTCATGGAAAGCTGTGGTCCAATTTCTGGGGAGCACTGAGTCCTGATGGATATTATGCTCGATCTGAAGATTATGTGGATATTGTTCAAGGGAATAGAGTGTAAGTTACGTGATTTCATCTTTGAATGTAAAATACCATAATCAAAAAGATCTAATCTTACTAATTTTACTTGACATTTTTTATTTGTCTCCTGTATATCTGAAGGCAGTTTCAGTACCTGGAAACCACTTGGAATCCTGAAATACTAACATAAAGCTAATATTTAAAAAATATTGTTTATTAATTTCTAAATTTTTAAAGTAACAAAATTATTGTGGGAAATACTAAGAGATGATATGTTGTTGCCAGGTGCACCTATCTTACAATTGGCGGAAGAGCAATACTCTTTAGTTAAAACTTTGGACAAGGAGTTTATTTTAGCTAACTTACTTAAGAACTATGATAAATAGCTGTTTTGTTAGCTTTTAGAATAAATAAAATAATACAGAAAAAACAATTATCACATGAGTTTTCTTAATGTGCAATAGCTCATCTTTTGATTTAAAGATAAGTGTTTTCACCAATATCTGATCTCCAGTTCTAGTTACTGGGAAAAACACACACGCTACGAAGTGAGTGCATGAGTGATAGTTCTTTCAGAGACAATAATTTTTTTTGTTTTTTAAAACTGAAAAATAGTCATATTGAAATAGTTTTGCTAATACCAGGGAAGAGTATGGTAGATGGTGGATCAGAGTGACTGAGTCATTATGTTCTTTCCCTTGGTTTTCAAACATGTCAGCCCAGTTGAAAAAGGGAAGCAGTTCATACCTAAAAGGATGTTCCCTTAAACTTACCAAAAAATCACACATTTTCTTTAAGTAGATAAAAAATGTTTTCCTTATGAAAATAATAATTTGTATGGAAACTTTAAATATAAATGTTGTAAATATAATAAATATATTTGTAAGTTGTAAGTAAATAATATGATAGTTAAAGACACATTATTAAGACAGAATTTCACATTTCAAAGAACTTTTATTAATTCTGAGATGAGACCATAAGTGATATAATCTGTGGTCACAACAGGTTTATAAATGTAGGATAGAAACTGGAGAATTCATGTTTGGAAATATACATAACCCTATGATAAAGTGTTTTGACAACTTTACAAACTTAGAATAGACTTATAGTTGTATGTTATTAATTTTGCTTTAGGAATGGGTGAATTTCTGTTTTCCTGTCAGTTTTGTCTAAAGAATAAAGGAAATATAGTAGAGGCCTTTGATCTAGTAATTAATATAGTAATCATATTTCATGTCCAAAAGCTGTGAGAAGAAATGACATCTTAAGACCTATTGATGTGTATATGCATTTTTTTCCCTTCAGAAATTTAAATGCCACATATACCACCAGCAACTGCTTTCTGGATTCAGCATGTTCCATAGTTCTAGAGGTCATTTTCTTTTAGGCTGATCTAATAAGACAAAGTGATACCCTATTTCTCTTAATGTCTGATACATTTAGTTGGTAAAGATCTTCCCTTTCTGTTCTCTCAAAGTGATAGGCACGCTCCATCGTACATAACTTTCTTATGCCATTCTCAGGAAATGAGTCATGTTCAGAGGAAGAGGTAGGTATGGGAAAAATGAAGGATAAATGTCTCCCAACACTCAAGTACTTCCAGCTATATTTCTTCATATCTTACTTTATCTACAAAATATTTGATATGATTTAATTAATTTTAAAAGAATATAATTTAGGGGAATTTTATGCCAAATTCCTTGGTGTACTAGTAACAGCTGGCTCCTGAGAATAGGGAAATGCCTTGACTTACAGTGTTTACCACTGTCTGTGGAAAGTTTCCCTTGTGGACTTGGAACCTAAGTATGACTCAGCACTTGCTGTCAGCTCTAGGGAGCCCTGTGAGCTACCTCTAGCACACCACTGGCTGTATGTTGTTATTGTTGCTATCAAAATTTTAATCTTAAATGGGAACATATTCTGTGTACTCCAGTATTAGGCTCTAACTGCAACTGTGACATGATAGTCAAATATGATAAGCACAAGCCAACTCTATATTGAATTTGATCAACAGAGATAATGGTTAGTCTCTTAAATCACATGTATCAAATAATCTCATATGTCAAATATTATTAAATGCCTGTTCTGATTCAATGATATATATAAAACATATCTAATTTAAACACATACAATGTATTTTTTAAAAACAATTTAAATTTTTATATTTCTATTATTTTGGAATGTCTTTTTTATTTTCAGAGGCATATGGAATGTCCCATACATAGCTAATGTGTATTTAATTAAAGGAAAAATGCTCCGTTCAGAGATGAATGAGAGGAACTATTTTGTTCGTGACAAATTGGATCCTGATATGGCTCTTTGCCGAAATGCTAGAGAAATGGTAAGCCATATATTGGGGGCTTGCTTAAATGTTTTTTTTAAAGATGGCTTACTTTACCAATTGATATGTCATTGTGTTTTAATGCCTTTTTTTCTAATTTGAAAGTACTAGCCAATTTTTTTGGTTCTATGTTGAAAAATTTGGAACAGTTTTGCTGAATAATTTGTCAACATTTACTGGTAGAAATGATTTGAAGTTAGGATGACTCATAGCAGTATAGTAGATTTGAATAATAAAGGTGGCATTGTTACAAATCAGCTTACTCTTTTAAGAAGACATTTTACTTCCCTTTGAAATTTTATGGTGAAAATTCATCCTAATTAAAATCACTTAAAATGTGGGTGAAATGATCATGACACATTAAAGAAGAACACATTTTTGTTCTGAAATCAATATCCATATTTTCTCTAAGTGTGTCTTATAATATAATTAACCTGGCATTCTTAAAAAGCCAGGTTTCCTTACTACAAAACTAAGAGAAAAGTTGAGATATGTAGTTTATTTAGTTTATGTGAAAAAGTAATGATACATTCCTATTCTACAAATATACTTCCAGTATAAAATATAATTGACTGCAGAAAATAATTTGTTTTCTAAATGTATAAATATGTTTCTTAAAGCATATTTATATGACTTTTTTGGCTTATAAATGATTGAGGTATATTATTTTTTAAATTTATATAAGCAATTGTGGTTTTAGTTGAAATCAGAAAAGTTGGCAAGTATTTTCTTCTGAGTTTAACAAGGCATGTGTTCTTTAAATATGTTTGTTTTTCCAACAAATCTGTGTGCACTGTTATTATTGAATATCCTCAGTGCCTATGATTGTATTTTGTGCTCATGTTTGACTAATTTCACTCAACAGCACCTCCTGGAATGGCCTGTCTTACTCATTTTTTTTCTTTGTCTTAATTATCTGTCTAATGGTTTGCTAAGGAATGAGCTTGTTGTGTTTGACCTGGCCCTCTCCCCACCCCACCCCAACCCTGCCAAAAAAAAAAGGGGAAAAAAAGGCTGAAAGGGCTGGAGATGTTTCTTTGTGTGCGCTATAAGCTTTGCTTGTTCTGCATGCTGTCCATGAAGGGCATTTTACAATGTCAGCTTTTCACCAAGATCTGCTTTTTTTTTTAACCGAAGAATACCTGAGAAAATGGGTGCACAGGTCAACTTACCCAGTGCTTCTCTTCATTTTAGACTTTACAAAGGGAAAAAGACTCCCCCACTCCGGAAACATTCCAAATGCTCATCCCCCCAAAGGTGTTATTTTTATTTATTTTTATTTATTTTTGCTTATGTAATTAATACTAGATATGGTATATTGCCTAACCTAATGTATTTTTAGGAGTCTTTGCATTTAGCTTGGTAAAATGGTGGTATTCATAGGTTAATAATCTGTATATGTTCCAGTCTTTTCTATGTGATTTTGGAGGGGGAACATTTATCTACTCTTGGATCATGAAGCTGATTTACATTTTAGGATTGACAAGGGAAGTTAAACCTAAGTCACTTTCATTTATATATATAGTTGTTTTTGGAGTGGAAGGGAGAAAAGACAAGGGTAGGTATAAAGTATATCTGTATATCTTGTTTAAAGAAGTGACGTTTAGACCTGGTGACTAAGGGGTGGAGAAAGTGAAGCAGGAACATTGTGAGTTCCAGGCATCTTGGGCAATACAATTGAGTCCTTGTCTCAGAATAAAAATAAAAGAGGCCCTTGGTTCAATCCCTACTCCCCTACTTCCACAAACATACACACACACACACACACACACACACACACACACACGACGGAGTGGGTGAGAGAACAGAAAGAAAGAGGGAGAAAAAGTCAAAGATAGAGGAGAGGTTTGAGTACTTCATTTTGTTTATTAACTCTTTACCATTAAAACAGGTATGAGAAACCTTCTTGGCTCAATTCCCCCCCC